CCCCCCCCCCGAAAAAAATCCTGAGATTGCTACCGATATTTTCCGTAAAATATCGGTTTCTCGTGTCGTGTTACGTTTTAAACGAACTCGTTTTTGACGATCACCCGACCGATAAATCGATCGTGTAACGTTAGAAATTGTCGAAGATATTTTGTGGTAAAACTCGGAAGTGTAGAATTTCAGATAATAGTGTCGATTTCAGTAGTATCCGGAACTTGTGCGAATCGTCAACGGAAAATGTCTCGCATCGTTCAACGTTTTTATCGATTTCGTTACGACGTGTGATTATCGTAATGAAATATTCGTTTTAAGTAGCCACCGCTCCGTTTGTCGTTAGTAATATCGTATTATATTATATAATATCGCGGTTATCGGCATACACGTGGTTATTAGAATATCAATTGAACACGCGTAGTTATTAGAATAAATAATAAATAGAATAACTCGTAAAAACGACAGGTTTATTACACTCGATATGAATACTCTGTTAATTCGAATCTCGAGTTTGTAATCAAAAGACCGTACCTTTATATTTTTCTGCAACTTGCCGTATCATAATATCTGTAAAATCGTAAAATGTTCAATCACTAATTATTATTGTGCTTACGATAATTTCTAACCAATTTTCATATTGAACTGCCAGAACCGATTCGATAAATTAAAATAAAATCAAAATGAAATATATTTAGCAATAAACGAATTCGAATAAGACGATTCAAACATAATAATAAATAAAATATATAATCGATTTCGCGGAAAAAATAAATTACACTACGATGAGTGGCTCTCGAATGATCGATAAAATTCGTATTGACTCGTTGTCACAGCAGTTGATCTCCGAACGTTAAAAAACAAATAAATAACCGTCGTTAAAGTACGCGTAACTCAAGAGAATTACAAGAGTAATTACAAGAAAAAAGTACAAAAATCCGATTACGGACGGATTCGCTACGTTATTGAAAGATAATAAATATATGAGAGATACAACATAAAGATAAAATACTTTCGTATAGAGACGCAACGACGACGGTGTTATACACACCGTCGTGAGAGGACAAGGGCTACAGGGCAAAGTTCTTAAACGGCATCGCGGCGAAAATCTCGATTGCGTTTTAAACGTATTAAATTCATAACTCACTTGTTTGTTCGATTTTTTTAGCGGCACCTAAATTTTCAATAGAAAATTTATCATTAAAACGTTTCATCTTTTAGTTATATTTTTTCAGGATGAAAAGGTTAAAATATATTTTGTAAATAAATAATAAAAATATAACGAAAACGACTTATTGTTTACTAGAATTACCTTTCAGATCGTCCAGACTTTTTCTACAGTTTACACTCTCTGACATGTAGCAAACAACGACAATAGCAAAAGTAAACACTTTAAGACGGTCCATCTTTTTTTTTCTAAATAAAATAAGTTATTATTGATGATTATCATTAAAATACAACCACCTGTCTCATACATAAAATTTTATAATTTTTATAAGGAATATTTGCATTATTCCAAAAGCAACGTAAACTTATATTTCCTTAATTAGGACATAATTACGAGTTTATAATTTATAAGTGTAACCAGGGGCGTCATTTCAGTTTTTTTTTTTTTGAGTGTGCAAGATTTCAAGTAGGCCATTTTGAAATTTCATCAGGCTATATAAAAATAGATATACCTACTTAAGTAAACAAAAAAAAACCCAACCCAGCACAGTAGAGTCGTAGCACAGTTGGAACGTGGTAAAGTTGGGACAAGTAAAGATGATATCTGACAGTGATTGAAATCACTATCATAAAAAACGCTTCGATGCAAATCTGTAAATAGTATTTAATTTTAAGAAATTGGTGTATTATTAAAAGCAAAATAAACTCCTATTTTTTGTTCTACATTGACTAGCATTTACACATAAAAAATTGGTCGTCGTTGTAAATTTTATTTTTTTGAACTTCTAGTATACAGAGTGATTTTTTTATCATAACCTACTCAATTACTTGCAGAATAATAATAATTTAAACATTTTTATTTATTATTATCTTTAGTTACACATTATTCTTGAATTTTTAACTATGTAATACTTTTTAAGTTCATCCCTTATGCCTGGTAAGGGTGTCAACTTTGTTTTTTTAAATGGTAACACATATTATTAATTTAATAAAATGTTTGAGTTTTTAATTTAATAGTAAATGGCATTTGAATTTTTAATATAACTTTATTAGCTTATTAGATATAAACATTTAAAGTTTCAAAATTTTGAGTTAATATACATGTATAATACACATGGGATTGTAAATACAGGTAGCTAATTGGATTTTTATAACATCGATATTAGCAGTTACACAGCATTGTTATTATCAATTGTAATAAGGCACATTGTTATGAGTTTATAAATACACTAACTGACAATACAGAAAGTATATCTATTGATAATCATAATTGATAATAAACAATCCGTGACTGAGACAGCAATGTCATAAAAATCCAATTAGCTACCTGTATTTACAATCCCATGTGTATTATACATGTATATTAACTCAAAATTTTGAAACTTTAAATGTTTATATCTAATAAGCTAATAAAGTTATATTAAAAATTCAAATGCCATTTACTATTAAATTAAAAACTCAAACATTTTATTAAATTAAAAATATGTGTTACCATTTAAAAAAACAAAGTTGACCCCCCTCCAAGGCATAAGGGATGAACTTAAAAAGTATTTCATAGTTAAAAATTCAAGAATAATGTGTAACTAAAGATAATAAAAAAAAAAAAATGTTTAAATTATTATTATTCTGCAAGTAATTGAGTGGGTTATGATAAAAAAATCACCCTGTATAAAACAAGCTTTATTTTAACAATATTGAAAAAAAACACAGTATTCCGAAACATTTTTAAAAGTTATATTGAAAAAGTTCTACTTTTTATACAAATTTTTAAGATTTCAAAAATTCAAAGTTTTTTTTTTAATTTTGAGGAGGTAAAATAATCAAAATAAGTTTATATTTATATTTAATGTGGAATGAGGGACTAGTAGATTTAATTAGTGAGAAAGATGTATGAGGGGAGGCTGTGACATCAATAAAAAAGCATAAAGCAGTAGGACCAGATGAAGTGCTAGTAGAAGTATGGAAAATATTAGGCGGTGTTAGCATAAGGTGGTTGAAGGATCTTTTTAATAAAATCTTATTAGAAGGGAAAATTCTAAATTAATGGAGAAATAGTATTGAAGTGTCGATATTTAAGGGTGAATGAAACATACAGGAATGTGGAAATTAAATGTGATGTGGGGACGGCTGATGTTAGTATAGATGATTTGGAAGATCGTGTCAAGTGGAAGTTTTAAGATAAGAGTGACTAAATAACTGGAATTAAGGCGAGGAAAAAGAAGAAGAAGAATATTCATATTGAATGTTAGTTGGATTTATGCAACTTTTATAAAAATTTTTGAACTGATTACTATGACAAACCTTATTTAAAAAACCTTTAAAATAAACAAAAAAAAATAAAATTTAAACACACACAAAGAAGACAGGTCGTTGGAACAATTTTTTATTTTTTTTAATTTGTAGTACGTAACACAAATTTGATTTGACATATTTATTTATTTATTATAAATTTTTCAGGCAATAGCCCAAAAAATCAATATGTATTAGACAGTTAACTAGGTAACTTAAAATTATCTAATAACTAAAAATGAAACATTAATATGTTTCATATATATAACATATATGACATATGTTTTAAAGACCCAGTATTTCCGGAACATTTTTAAGACTTAAGTAAAAAAGTTGAGTTTTATAAAAAAATTGTTATTTTGAATCCTAGTTTGTGGGAAGGTAATGGATTAGATTATCATAAAATTGATATCAAATGAAAATAAAATACGTAAGGTGCTTATATAAAAAAAATTATTTTAATTATTTTATCATCTTTTAATAAGTTATGTCAATTTTTAGAAAAAAATGTTTAAAAAATATTGAAATTTACTAATTTTAATAATCCTAATTTTTTGAGAGATTTTCACCAATTATGGAGAACTAGGGAAAATTTTTCAATTTTTGAAGGTAATGTCTTCAACTATATACGATTTGTAATCTTTTGACATATTATTCATCAAAATCGGTCCAGTGAGAGCTGAGCAAAAATAATGACAGACAAAAAAAAAAAACAAACACATTATGATAAAATTAATACCTTCTCAAATTCGCATCGAACCTAAAACTGTTACGAACATCAATATCATTATCTTGCGTCCGGTACGAATATCAATAGTTCAGTATGATATATTTGAATCGATCATTTCAAAAACGACATAAGTTATCAATTTTTCAAAAATGACTTTTTGTCAAATTTGATAATTATATACCTGGTTACGTATTCTGTGAAAAACTACATTTATCAGACTCATATTTAATACGAAATTTACTACAAGAAACTAGAATCGCTGCAAAATCTACACAATTCATTGACTTGTGTAGTTTTTGCTGTCATTCACAGATCGCACTTTTTGATGTTATGCAAATCTTACCCTTACCAAACATACCAGTACAAGACATTTTTTATGTAAGACAATTATGGGTGAATTGTTTTGGGATTAAAAATTTGAAAACTGAAGAATCTACGTTTTACATGTACCATGAAGATGAAGCTTGCAAGGGGTCCAACGATGTGTACTCTATGTTACTGGATCATATAAATAATTATATTAATTCAGATATAAAAGAATTATAATTGTTTTGTGATGGTTGTCCGGGCCAAAACAAAAATAATACCGTTAAACGATTTTTGCTAGCATTGACAGATAGTCAACAATTTACCACTTTTTCCCACTATGAGGACATACATTTTTACCTAACGATCGAGATTTTGGAGTTGTTTGTAATGTATACACATTATCATCATATGTATACACAGTAATCATGAAAAGATAGCGTTATCTTCTGTCCTTTTATCAATACGTATTTCAATGTTTAATACCGTAAAATAATACATGAAAATTCAAATTTTCACAAACTTCAAAACGCTACAGAATATTTACTACTCAATATTAATAAGATATTTTTTTACTAAAATTTTTCTTAAATTCTACTCTACAAAATAGCTATCTTAGATTTTTTTTTTACATTTTATTTAAAATTTAAAAATAATTAATATTTTTAATAAAATGTAAAAAAATTAATTATTGAGATATAGCTATAGACCTAACGTATAACTATTATTTAAAAAAAAAATCAACTAAAAATATTAACTGGATCAAAAGTTATTTAAATTGTCAGTGAGTGGTGGGCCACTCTGTATATGTGCCAGATGAATATATTAAAATATATTAAATTATATATGTGTGTGTATAATATATGTGAATGAATGCAGTGAAAAGTTCAAAGCAATAATGTTTCAGATGGATCAAGCTTACGACTCTAAAAAATGGTAGCCGTCATACTACAAAAAGACATGTTTATCTGTTGAGACATTTGGAAAAAAAAGTTCCAAAGGACCAAAAGCAATCCTTTACCCCATCTACATACATGATTTTCGAATATAATACATAATATAAAGGTATTGTATTCGCACCTAATGTTATGATCGTTTTTCAAATATATTTATTGTTAGAATCCGAACTAAACCTGCCTAAACAAATACATAAAGTATTTATAAAAACAACATTTTTTACTTTGATTCATCTATATTAAAAAAAGTCATGTCTGTTTTGATTTAAAAAAAAAAGTGTTATAAATATCGCAGCAATTACAACGGGCTTTAAATTAGCAATTTTTTTGAGCGATTTCCACTGTTTACGGCAAACGAGGGAAATATTTTCAAAGGCGCGACTTTTTAAATATCAAAGACGGCTATTTGAACGCCGAAGAAGACTTCTAAGACGACTTTTGAAATATCAAATATATATATAGAATATATGTATAAAAATTGTATTGACGAACATTGGATAATTTGGGTTTAACTCAGAATATTTAGACACAGCACGACTTTTAGTATTCTACGTTGTTAAAGGGGTTTAAAGATATTAGTAAACAAATATTCGATAACGTTGTCATCAGGCCCGCATTTAGGGGGGGGCATTGGGGGCATTTGCCCCGGGCGGCAAATTTTGAAGGGCGGCAAAAATCTTAATAGGTATACAATTTTTAAAAATTAATTATTTTTATTTAATTTAAAATTTTTTCAAACAGAACAATTTATTTTTATGAAACAAAAATATCTATTTCTAAAAAAAAATATTACTTTATTATTTTCTAATTTAAAACGTGTACAAAGATATAAATGTAAAAGAAGATATATCAAAGCTGTATAACAACATATACTACAGTTAGTAGTTAGATAATAGTATTGATTATACATAGTAATTTTTATAATCAACAGCACTATAAATAAAGTAGGCGGCAATTTATTTGATTCATGTTTTTATCTAATTTTAACAAAGTATTGATATTTTCTCCCTTAAACTGGTTTTATGGATGTCGTCGGCCGTTGATAGTCGATTATTATTGGAATACTAAGAAAGTTAAAACACAATAATTTGTCTCATTTTTCACAATATTACTATCTAATAATGTCACACTAATAATGTGTTGTGTACAGACAGCTCATTGTGTTTAGTACTCGACTACAAGTGACCGAGTTAATATGTTGAGGTGTTTTTTTTTATTTGTATATTTTATTATTTATTAACGTATTAAAATGAGAGATGGCAGAAAACGTTTAAGTGGAAGTGCTTATAAAAAAGTTGCTAAATTAAAATTAGAAAAACAACAAAAAGTCATTTCTCAAACCGCAAAATTAATTTCATTTTTTGGCAATCAATCTCCAATTCGCCAAGTGAAATAGAGACTACAGCTGAACAGATTTTAAATGAGTCTAGTGATAAAAAGTAATTTAAAAATCAAATGTTAACTTTTGTACGTTATTTCAGTTTTATATAAATGAAAAATTTTATAATTTTCTAGTGAACATCCTCTACATAGTACTTTTGAAACCATGGCAAATGAAAATCAATTAATTGAATATTCGGAATTATTAAATACGCCAACTAAAAAACCCAATCCAACACTTTTGGGGGGCGGCAAAATTAAGTGCACCGGGCGGCAAAATTCCTAAATGCGGCCCTGGTTGTCATAAATGGATAAACTATTATTTATTTATAGCCAGAGCAGTATTGGTTTTAAATATTCGATTCACGACTAAGTTTTATTCGCTATGGATAGGACACAGTCGTCTCGCGATGGGAAATCAGGGAAAAAACTCGCCCGTGACGAAAATAAATGTACAATGGAGGACATGGTAAAACAATTGTTGTGCATATCCCACCAAAACGAAACCATAAGAACTCCCTGATGTGATACATTTGGCATTATGGTTAATTTTATTAATACCATTACATTAATTGTATACTTGAATACCACTCAATTTACCTGACACCCAACAGTCAAACATCCTAAAGAAATAATTGACCGTTTGTGCATCATTCGTACGCTTACTTTCAACATAAATTTCGAGCTCTTCTAGTAAATTTACCGTGATTAGTAATTGTAACATTTAGATCGTAGTGATCTAGTGTTTAATTCGTTTAAATCTAGTTTAATTCGAATATTACACTTATCGTTATATAAAGAGATGCTCATTGGAATACAATTGAGAAAATAGCATTTGAAGTTATTTTCGTAATTATCTACCCAATTTCTTGAAATCGAACACTAGAATTTGCACGGATACAAACAAGGCGCAACAAAATGTTTTAAAAAAAATCTAATAGCTTTTGATTCGGCAAATATTTCTCGTTACTCTTACGACAAATTAATTTACCCGTTCTCAAACTATATTAAAATCATAATTTTTATCGCGGAAAACTAATAACGAATCTTATGAAATTATGTCTATCAAATAATATCGTGAATTACTCTTTGGTTTGGGTTCTCTTATACTTAAAATACGGTTTGTGTGTATGAAAGAACCCCGACTAAAACGTACAAACGTACCTATGGTGGTTCCCCGTTTAAAAAAATAATATTACTAGTTATTTCATTTTTGTGAACAATGCTATGATCGCTAGTCGTCATGAAGTTTTCCTCGAAATATAATAGTTAATCATTAAACTAATTTAATTTAATTTATCTAAATTTAATGCGCTCAATTGAGTACATTATTTTTATTAAATGACGTATTTAATGGCGTATTAAATGACAACGAAACGCTTATTTTGCCGTTGAGTTTTATTATCATGACGACGTGATCAAATAAAATAGACATTAGTGTTTACTTACGATTTCGAAAAAAGTTTAACGTCTCCTTCAATAGAAATATTATAAATGTCACGATTTATTATTTTTTAACTTTTATATTAGTCGATACAAAAAATAAAGCGTTCAAAAATTAAAATTAATATATTTGTTTGGCAATTTTAGACGTTTTTATATTAAATATATATTTTACACGAAAATTTCAAACAATTTATCGTAAGAGTAATTCATTTGTTAATGTATAAATATAATTTGTGCGTACGACGTACGCAAACAATAATTACACAAATCACAGTAGTCAAATAAGCAATTTATCGTCGTAATAACCGACCCGCTATTAGAGAAAATCGATTCTTATAGTAAAAATAACAGTGTTCACAAATCGTAAACAGTGATTTATGGGTCTGTTTTGCATGTTTCAGTGTCAGCGTGATTACTGTTCAACTACGTCTCATGAAATTATTTTTTTTAAATACCTAGACACCTAATCTTTGGCTAATATTTCAAAACCATTTTCACCGTTATTTAACAATAACGGGTCATTGCATTTGGAGCTGCTTTATGTGGAAAATCCATTTTCTACAATCCCTTACCACCCTCCTCACTCCTCGTACTTACACTCACAACTCGTATCGAGTTTCGATTTGTAATCAGTTAGAGCTGTTCGCGGTTTAGGGACGAGATCAGAAAGAAAGCGTCCAACAAGTGTTCTCGAACGACGGCAACATTATCGTGTCGCGCGTATCACGATGAACACGCTACCGGCTCCATAGAAGTGCGCTGTGAACACGTCACCGGTCTCCATAGAAGTGCGCTGTGAACACGTCACCAGTCTCCATAAAAGTAGCGTGCTTCCTCATTACGATGCTGTGAGCCGGCGGTAGCGTTTATCGATTTGCGGATAAGTAGATATCCATTGTTTGCGTGCATTACTTTCGGTAATTCGAACGGGTTTTTAATTATCAGTAGTAAAATCGTTCAATGTGTACGTGCCGAGAACCAAAACGTCAAATATTACGACCGGTTGTCACGGGCCCGCAATATTTCATTATTATTTCTACATTTCATTCGATAACTCGATACTTTCAACGATTCTGAAATGACGGGACTTTGTCCGGTCATGACGTGATACATGATCACACACTGGGGTGGGTCGTACTCAATTTTTTTGTATTTTCCATCAGAATAGAAGCATCATCGTAGATTACAAGTAAAAGAGCAAATCTATGAAATGTCCAATAATTTAACTTTTTTTTCAATTGTATAATAAGAATTTAGTATTTCTATGGGAACGGGATTTGTCAGTAAAATTTATAAAAAGAAACGACGAAATCGAAAGAGATAGCGTGTAATAAACGTGTCGGTGACGCTTTTTAATAATTTAAAAATTATAATAATAACCTTATAAAATAAACAACGATTTTAATATATAAAAAATTTTTAGTTAGTTAAATAAGACGCTAAAACGATTTTTTTTCTTTTAAAGAATTATTATTTTTACCCGTTATAATAATCATCACAAATACTATAAATTTACCGATTTTTTTGCTTCAAATATATTGCAAAAAAACACATGTTAATCTACGAATGAAATATAAACGAATATAAAACATGGCATTTTACAAATAAACATGGGAATTTGTCGAACGATAAAATAAGACGAAACCCGTAACACGTTTTTTCAGAAATCTAGTACATTAAACAATTCGTTAAAAGCGTAAAAAAATACATTGTTGCAACATAAAAATATTACCTCGATTAAAAATAACCAACCGTCGTCTAGTATGAATTTGTATTACTCCTCCTCAATCCATCCGATAGAATAATAAATAAATTTTACCAGTAGTCGATAAGTAGAACAATAAACTATATTTATTAATTGTAAACGTCGTCATCTTTTCATTATAACTAACACAGACGGCGATACGAAATAGAGAACACACTAGGTATTTTTTTATTTTTACGCTCCAAAAAAATTATGCTTATAGTTTTATTATTCGGATGAATAAAAATTTATTAATCATCACTAATTACTGTATAAATAGTTTCTGTATTAATTATAAATACGGACATAATTAAAAAAAGAGGGAAAAAAATGGTTAAATTAATTAAATTAAAAATTTATATTTTCAATAATTATACTGAAAATAAAAGGAAACGTATTCTCTTTTAAAGAGAAACGCATTTTATTAGATGTTTTTAAGGTAAAATATTTATTATTTCGTATTTTTTTTTCAATACGAAATAATATGTTTTCAAACACGACAGATTATTTAAACTCGAATCGACATATTTTTTTAAAATTAGCTCAGCGCATTACCTGCTGTCGTAATATGCACAATGTTCCGCATTACGCATCTTACATTATCAATAAAAAATTATTACTCTATATTTAATACCAATTGTATACAACACAAAAAATTAATTTATCTGTCATAACATATACACATTGTACACTAGCTATTATACAGGGTGTTCAGTAAGTCAGGAAACGGGTTTCTATTGTTCTCATTGTTTGTAACAATGAGAACAATAGAAACCCGTTTCCTGACTTACTGAACACCCTGTATATTTATATACATGTTAAATTGATTATTATATACTATGCATCTTATATTAAAAATAATTATCATGTTATGTTCAAATTTTACACAATAAACTGAAAATCACTAAAAGCGCTGACGGCAACAACCCATGATGGGGGTAATTAAAAGTAATATAAAAAGGCGCTGATTTTCTAAGAGAGCAGAATTCTCTCTTCTTTTGAAGGCCTGAATTCAATAAAGAATTCAGGATTCTTCTATTTGATTTATTTTGAACAAACTAGCCGCGACCCCGTGTTGTCGTCGGTATATTTTATAGCGATTTCAAATACAATTATTTTTGCGTCAATACGTTATTTATTTATTAATAAGGAAAAGTATAAATCTGAACGTGAGATATATAAAAGAAGTAAGTAAATTTATATTAACCCAATTATTTAGAATTAATAATCTGAGTAAAGAATGGTAAAGCAATAGATTTTTTAAACATCATTTAATTTAATTATTAATAACTAGTTAGTGCTTGGTCATATACTTCGACTGGGTGTCTGAGAGGAGGCCTCCGCCACTCCATGAACGCCTCAGTATTTCCACTAAAGCACATACCAGTTAACATCACGCTTCGACTGGGTGTCAGATAGGAGGCCAAGACCCCGGCCACTACAAGAATACCTCAGCGTTTTAATACCTCTATGAGAGGAACTTAATTTGTATCTTTTTATATCTACTTGTCTTTACTGTTCTAAACCCTCGGACTCTACTACCCCGATAGAACCTCGTTGCTCCTGAATTGACCAAATCCCTAACATCCAACCTTGGTCAAATAAAATTCCCCATTCACCGTTAATGCTTATTTTTTTTGTATTACTACACTGCGAACTATACTACAAAATTTCTACATTACACACGTTAATAGATTATGGAAAATGAAATGTGATGTTTTCTAAAATAGAAAATTTACTATTTTTTAATCGCTATGACGTTTTTGAAAATCAAATCAAATAGGTAACCGCGATAAACGAATAAAGATATTTTACTTATGACATTTTCGGAGATTATTATTATGTCATTGCTGCTGCTATCGACGTACAATTAATTGTACCTACTACTCTGTCTAAAATATCAAAATATCAATGTAAATTTTAAATGTCACATAAAATTAAGATAACAGAACAAAGGCATATCTCGACTAAACGTTAACTAACGTTAAATAAAAAAATTCACCGTTCTACATATTTTTTGAATATACTAATTTTTTTTATTTACAATACATTTGTACTGAAATTCTCATCGTTGGATTTGGGTTTTAACCCGACAATATAATAATAAACATAATTGTACTCCATAATGAAGTTTTCAACACTTTAAAATTGTCACTATTGTACAATTCGATTTTTACTTTGATGTATATTTGGATATGTGTCACGACCAAAATCCATCGCACAGTTGAATAAATTTGTACAAATTAAATTGTACACGTGCATGGGAACTGAACATTACCGATTCTCTCGAGTATGATCCGGATTTAAATTTAGAATCGTGCATTGTCTTGTTTAATCTTAAAAATGTCTCAACTTCGTTTTAATGGACGCTTTATCTACCGTATGCATTACTTGAAAAAGTACATTACGTTACGATTGAATAAACGGGGATACCGTGGAGTGATCCACGGGGATCGTGGGAAGAGATATTGGAGAACTATAAGATATTGGTGGGAATTACAATAGCAACATTAACTTCCATTTCCTTAATTATATGTAGATAGTTGTAATGTTGCAGAATTTATACAAGTTTTTTTTTATATTAATCTTATCAATTAGATATGTGTGCAGTAGGTGTAAAGTATTTTTAATAATTTTGTATATCGTCGGTGCACAAGAATAGTGANTAATAATTTTGTATATCGTCGGTGCACAAGAATAGTGACACAACTCAAAAAAGTAGATTTTTCAGTACAGCGGTTTTAAAATTTACCGTTTCTTGTATAGCAAACCACGATTAAGGATCGTTAAAATTTAAAAAAATTTTTTTGGAATCAATTAAACTATTTACCTCTCATCCTAACAATAACATGTTAGTTTTGATAAAACTTAGAATAAACCTCAAAATTGTTCTATTTCATCCCTCTTTTGAGTTATGACGATTTTCCTGAAAATATTATATCACCACCTAATGATATTTTATCATAATAATAGGAATAATATTAATAACAATGCCATTAATAAATTCATACAAAAACAACCCTTTATTGTACAACGGAAATAACATATAATATAAGATACACAACCTTGCTTTGGTATTTAACTTAGATCATTAAATGATCTATAAAATTATAAAATACAAAATATAACATTTTTATATTATACATTTAAAATATTCATAAAACTCACTAGAAATAAAATAATAAAAAAATAATTAGTCTTGTTCTATACTTAGGAACTTCGTAAGTATTATATAAATTAAGTAATTAAAACATAAAAATAACAGCCTTGTATTTGTTCTATACTTTAGGAACGTCATAAATTAAAATTATTATAATTATTAAGTCTTAATATTATTTAAAAATTACAAATTTTCATAAAAAAATGCAAATGATTTTGGTATTACATTTTTCTCTAGTAGCTTCAGTAGACCTGGTTTTTTAGCTGCTGCCCCTATTTTAATAGTATATAGTTGTTTTAATTCATTGCAGATAGTACTTGTGTTTTTTGATCGTCTTTCTTTCAAATGGATCTCACAAAATTCCTTTTCCGAATAAGATGTTTTAAAAAAAAATTTTTGGGGATTTTCCTTTTCAAAACGAAACATACACACACTTGTTATTTTAACGATGTCGCCATTTGAATCCTTCAGATTGGTTCCGATTAAAGATTGTTCAGCCAAATTTTTCAAATCAAAGAAGGAGTCGTAACTCATTTCATTGACCTGGTAAGGCCTTCCAGTTTTTTTTGCACCACGAATTAACGTAATGTATTGCGCTGGTATGCAAATTGGGCCTGTTTTTAAACTTTTTTTGACAGTACGTTCAATTACCGAATGGACACAGTCCCCCTCATTTTGACTATGTCCTTTGACCAAAAACTTGTGTGTTATGGAATTTATATACGAGTATTTTCCAACAGCATAGCGGTACATAGACAACATAAATCGATTTTTTTGCTGGCCACAACAGTTGTCACTGTAAAATATAATGTCTAACTTCTCACCATGCTGGACCGATTCTCTGTCCTTCAATGATTCGATGTATTTTAGGACGCAGGTTCCAATCTCATTAGCTCCGCGTTTTGCTTGTGTCTCATCCCATAAGTAGCAAAAAACATCAGGATTTTTTGATTTCAGTTCGTACAGTGTAAAATTAAATACATTAATTTTGGATACATAGTAGAAACCGGATGCCTCTCCTCGAGGACATTGAAGAACTGCCTCCAAGTCATAAACTGCCACAATCAAATTTTTATTTTCGCTATTTTTATCAACTTTTTTTTCTTCACGAGATAATTCCTTTTCTACCAGATGTCGATCGTATTTATCTTTCAGTGTATTTTTTTCCTCTTCGGGAGCATTTTGATACATTATGCAGTCTTCGCATTGATCTTTTTTTGGGCGGTGAAATCCGATATTAAATTCCGTATTGAAAATTTTTGAATACATAAGATAGTTAGCATGTGGCTCCTCATTTTGTTCACGGTAGTCCCTATGTAAGTCTGCTAGATTCTTGTCCCCTTCAATATAATATTCTCTAACGGAATCTTTTCGGCAGTAGTGGCTTTCCATCCTAGGAATGGATTGTATGTGACGACGAACTGCTTCTTTAATGCTTTCATCAATTTTTTTGTGCTTGCCATGTTTTCCTCGTTTTTCAATATCAATCATGCCGATGGTCTTATCATTGCTTTTGTTTAACACTGTTCTAATTGGCCTGTCAGATATGGAAAGTGTTGCTTTAAAAAATGTCTTGCACACTCTTATCCTCTGACCATCAACAGAAAAATAAAATGCACTGTTTCTCTGTCTATGGTTGTTCTCCCGAACATACCTATACTTCGGCTCAACTGACTCCATACTTAATAACAGAAAGTTACGTTGTCTCTGTAAATCGCCTAGTGCCCAATAATCAGTAAAAATGGTTAATCGTTGGTCTTCGGTGATTTTTGTTTTGCAATTAAGGGTGCAGCTGTCTTTGCATGGTGGCCCCATTACTTTATCTTCAACAACCTTGATTTCTTTTTTAGAATTGAGATACGTGTATTTTTTCCCATGGTTTCTGCATGCTTTCCTAATTGATTTAGTCCACAGCTCTGGTTTGGCCTTTCGTTTTTTCCCTCTTCTTTCTTCAACTTCACAGTGTGTCTCTTCGTCGGGAACTTCATCACGTGACGTCGACAATGAACTGGATTTCTCTTCACAGTGTGCCTCTTCGTCGGGAACTTCATCACTTGACGTCGACGATGAACTGGAATTCTCACCGCCATCATAGTCTGGATCTAAATCACTGTCATCTGTATAGTTATATTCTTCAGATTCATTTTCAGACATTACGCAATCACTTAGGCTGCCTTCTATGTTGTTGATAGCCTGTGTTGATGGCGTATCTGCCTCTTCAATAATGGTTATTTCATTGTACTCTAATACGGCATTATCTTCGTGATTCTGTTCAAAATATGAAGGTGGTACATTTTCTAAAGTAATGAACTCGTCAGAAGATGTAGGGTTGACAAATGCATTTTCTAATAATAAAAAAAAATACAGAAAATACAGAAATTAGAAACTAAAAAAAAAATGAGCAGGGGTTCCCTGGCGCCCGCAGGCCACACTCTTTTGTAGAATAAAAAAAAAATTAATTTTAAAATTTTCCGATGCCCGCGCGCCCTTTAAACAAAATTAAAATAAATTCCTACATCTTTTTAATGATAAAAATTACAATGCGATTTATATTAAATAGGTATATATTTTTTTTTATTCAAGATTTAAATGACTAATTACTAAATGAAAATAAAAATGACCAAGATTTGAACACCGTTAAACCGAGTATCAAATAAAAAATTACTCAGGATTGGCATTTTAAACAGGAAATGAAGTGCACAGGGTCAGCTAATTCAAAATAAATAAACAATTAATAATAATTATTATCATGATAACGAATGCTACGAAAAAAAAAATTTAAAAATTATTCATGTCCATAAATATTAGACCGCTTCAAAACCAGAGTTTACATGTCACCTTGGCTCCTAGGGGCTCAGATCGTTCATTTTATTGAGTAAAATAATCCCTCCAAATTTCAAAACGATTGTTTTATTTTTCAGCCCACGAATCAAGATTGAATTTTCCCATTTAATTAACACGTGATATTACTATTTTTGGGATTTCCATTTTTCCCTCGTGAAAAACACTCAAAATTAAAAAAAACGGTACTATGGAATTCCTTGCAAAATTTTAATACAAAACGATATGTAACACTAAAATATTAACGGTGGTCATTTTAGGGGTGGTTTGAGGGGAAAATGTCATTTTCCCCTCAAACCCTTCTATTTTAGGTTTATGATATTTACCTATAGGCAATAATTGAGACTTTTCGTCATTTTTTACTTCGTACAAAGTAGTTTTATCAACTACATCAGTAGTCAGATTGGGTTCATCTTGTTTAACCTTCACCAACTTCATAAGTAATCTCAACCTTCCAGCAGATGTCATGTTTTTTAACTTGATCTATTTATAATTAATACTAAGTTCATTCAGATGATAAAATTAAAAAGAAATTATAAATGTAATAATATCATAATATTATATTATGAATATTTAATATACCTAATAATATTATAAAGCACAAAAAATAAACTTGTTTACAGACAGAACTCCAATTATAACTGATATTATTTCAAGAAAAGTGTCACAAGTCTGAATAAGTTTATAATAGTAATGCAATTATTATAAAAATTTCTCTTACTTGTTCAACAATAGTGACCTATTTTGAATTGTGTCACTGTTCAAAGTAACGATTGTTGATAATTTTATAAAAAGTGTCACATTTAGATTTGTGTCGTTGTATTTGAAAATAAATGATGATGTCAATTTGGCGGACAGAACACAACTAGATTTGTGTCGCTTTTCAAGATTACCAACTAGCGATTATGCGATAAGGGAATAACGACACTACAGCTATCTTGTGGAGATTTTTGGAAAAATCAAAAATGTCGTTCTTGAATATGAAAATATGGGTATTTTGCAATGCATTTTCATAATAATCTCGAAAATGCCAATTTTTGAGTTGTGTCACTATTCTTGTGCACCGACGATATGATAACCTCCACTTGTCAACCGGTCCGATATCTGTCATCATCAGCTGACCGTACACAATGCACCTATACCCATATTGTTGTATTTCCCCCCAATGGATTTGTCAAAGTTGGTACCACCACCACCCGGCGTCACGATCACCGGCCACTACACAAATGCCGCTTCAAATGATTTTTTTTTTTTTCCATCTATACCGCCGAGGCGACAAGTAGTCCGTTTATTTTTTTTCTGTGAAAACCACGTTTTTGTATTTTTTTTGTCCTCCGTTTTTTTTATTAAAATAAACGTCGAGTCGACCTGCCGTCTACTGTGGTGTCAACCAGGTTGTATTTTTTTTGTCCTCCGTTTTTTTTTATTTTAAACAAAACGTCGAGATGGTGATGTGAAGCGCAACTATGGCCGGTGGGCATATTAACATTCTGCACACGAAATGTAACCCAGCAATAAATTTGCCTCTCTGATTGGCTACTCATTATTTATGATAACAGTTGATATCAGTAAACTATTATTATTAATATCTAGAAAACACTAATTTTATAAATTATTTATAAATATATTATTTAAAAAATGTAATAACAGAAATAAATTAGTGCGATTTTGCATTAGGCGTACAGTTAGTTATGTTTTGAAGTATATTTCTTGGTTTCTTCTTAGGGCGATTGTTTTCTGAAATTGCTGGTCTACTTAAAAATAAAAGTAACATGTTTGTTTAATTGACAAATGGTATTTATAAATTATACTCACCTGCCAAAAGACGTTTGCTTCCTTTTGTTATGCCTGGTTTCCNAAAGACGTTTGCTTCCTTTTGTTATGCCTGGTTTCCTCCTAGAAATAGTGGTTGGCTTAACTCTTATTGTTGCACTATCTCTTAGTCTTAAAGGTAAAGAGGTTCCTCCAGCATTGTCTAAAAATGTGTTAAACTGCCCTTCTGATTTTATTTTTTTAAATCTATTTTTAAATTTCAGTAAATTTTGATTGATCCTCCATACTTAGTATTATTATTCAACAAAATTTGATTGATTTCTTCTATTATTGGCAAACAAGTCTTTTCTGAAATAGTACTTTTTTCTTCAACCATATTGCCAAAGATGCTATTTTCATTAATATTGTTTTCTGTATTTTCTATTACATTTACTGGTTTTAATTTAACTTCTTCAACTGTCAATGCATTTTTATGAATAACCTCTGATGGTAAAAGACCTTCATAAAATGATTTATTTGGTGTTTTATTTCTTAATGCTAATGGTGCAATTGAATATTTATCCTTTANCTTAATGCTAATGGTGCAATTGAATGTTTATCCTCTATTGTAACAGGAGGGAAATTAACTCCAACTTTATTAAAAAACTTGTATACAATACCTTGATGTTTACAAAACTTTCCATACATTCTAGCTGTACACGAACAAATATCTATAGATGGCATAACACAATACATCAACTGTTTATTTTTTTGGCTTGGTACATAGTATTCTTCATTATTCACTTTAATATCTTCTTGGGTCACATAATCAGTTAATTTTGTAATTTTTTCAAAAAATTTACGAGCAGTTGCATTTCTATCATTTGAAAACTCGAGAAATTTTTTTCTATAATAATGTTCCAAATTGGTACAACAAAAATCAATAATTGAAATAACATTGTATGCTTTAACTCTACTTAATACATATTCCTAAAAAATTCTCACTGAAACTTCACTAAAGTTATTAGTGTGGTGGCCTCTATTTATGTGATCTCTCCACACTAAACATTGTATAATAATTAAAAAGAATGTATTAAATGTAATATAAATATTATAAAAGTAATTATTTCATATGTTGTTCATATTTTACCATATGAACCCCTTGACCAGTACGCGGACCTAAATTTAAAATCCTCCATTTATCATGCCAATTCTGTATAGTTCTATATGTTGGGTTCAATCGAGCGTTTGCAAAATCCTCATTGGAATGATTATTCATTGCCATAACACTCTCATGGTAACTATAATAGAAATTATTTTTGAAATATTAGCAAAAATCCTTAAAATGTTGCATTTAAAACTTTAAAAAAAGTGTTTATTTTTAAAACTACTTAATAACATAATTTTTAAATTCTGTATTTTTATTTTATGGATTACATTATGCATACAAACCAAATAGCTTCAGTTATAGTCATTCCATCATTAAAATATTCTTCAAAATTTTCTCTGAAATTAGGAAAAGCATTTAAGCATTTTAAAGCCTCTGCTGTATTTATGTTGTGATTGTGTTCATTAAAAATTGTAATATCACCTAATAATTTTTCCTATCCATACATAAAATAGTTAATATAATGATACAACTACATTTAAAAAAATGATATTCTCACTACTTTTTATCATTTTCAAAATTTATAAGTATTTTTTCAACACTAACTAAATGTAAAACTGTCTAAATTTTGACTTAACTTTAAGTGTATTGTTTCCTTAAATGGATTATACTAAGTCACATTTAAAAGTATGGAAATTAGTGTAGCAATCAATTTCAAATATTATTAAAATATTTAAAAAAAGTCTATTATATTTTATACATTATGTTTGTATATACTAACTAAAATGTAGGGATCAGTTTTTCTAGTTGAAACAGAATCTAGCTTTACCACAACTTTTATTTTGGCTTTACACTTAGTGTTTTTAGATTGTCCTCTTTTATTGTGTTCTTTGTCAACTTTATGGTAAGNCGCATTACACCCGGGCAGTATTGGTCAGTAAAAATAAAAATTTGTTCATATATATATATATATATATTGTAATGTTGCAGAATTTATACAAGTTTTTTTTATATAGTTAAATCTTATAAATTAGATGTGTGTGCAGTAGGTGTAAAGTATTTTCATAATTTTGTATATGATAACCTCCACTTGTCAACCGGTCCGTTATCTGTCATCATCAGCTGACCGTACACAATGCACCTATACCAATATTGTTATGTCCACTCAATGAACGTGTTCAAAGTTGGCAACACCACCACCCAGCGTCACGATCACCGGCCACTACACAACTGCCGCTACAACATTTTTTTTTACCATCTATACTGCCGAGGCGACAAGTAGTCCGTTTGTATTTTTTCTATGAAAACCACGTTTTTGTATTTTTTTTGTCCTCCGTTTTTTTATTTTAAACAAAACGTCGAGATGGTGATGTGAAGCGCAACTATGGCCGGTGGTGGGCCATCACTCCGCAACTCAACCAACATCAAGTACAACATGAAACCCCCCTTTTCTACCCATTATTAATCTTGTTAATATAGCACCTCCTTTTTGCTTCTTTTTTTATTTATTCTTCCTTTATATATATATATATATTTTAAAATAATAATTATAAAAAATTTTCAATAATTAAAAAGAAAAAATGTTATTATGTTATACATGGCCTTTCTCTTTTATTAATATTTGTTTTTCTCAAAACCTAGTAGCTCCGTCGACAAGTACTATCTTGTTTGGCGTGGCTACTAGGTCACTGTCCAGTGTTCCCCCTGGGCAGTGGGTAATTAGTAGGCCCTCTGTTTGGCTGAAACCTTACATAGTGTTTAATTTTTAGAAGTAATTATTGACTTATTCCAGAAGCACCATTCAGCTTATATATTATAAGTATAATTAATAAATTAGAAAAAAAATGTTAACTGTCATAATTTGATTATACTGACATTTGTGTCTTAATTATTTTTTCAGTTATAAAATTGAAATTAATCATATTATCAGTCCATAGATTTATTAGATTAAATTAATTTCATATTTATTAATAATTCTAGTTGAATTAGTATGTCGTTAAATATAAATAATTATAACACCTTTTGATTTATTAACCACTACTATGACAATTGAAATCGTATTGATCAATACAATTTTTTCATAAGAAATACTATTTATACAGGTGATTTTTTTATCATAACCCACTCAATTACTTGAGAATAATAATAATTTTAACATTTTTTTTTTTTTATTATCTTAAGTTACATATTATTCTTGAATTTTTAACTATGTAATACTTTTTAAGTTCATCCCTTATGCCTTGGAGGGGGTTCAACTTTGTTTTTTTAAATGGTAACACATATTTTTAATTTAATAAAATGTTTGAGTTTTTAATTTAATAGTAAATGACTTTTGAATTTTTAATATAACTTTATTAGCTTATTAGATATAAACATTTAAAGTTTCAAAATTTTGAGTTAATATACATGTATAATACACATGGGATTGTAAATACAGGTAGCTAATTGGATTTTTATGACATTGCTGTCTCAGTCATAGATTGTTTATTATCAATTATGATTATCAATAGATATACTTTCTGTATTGTCAGTTAGTGTATATATAAACTCATAACAATGTGCCTTACTACAATTGATAATAACAATGCTGTGTACCTGCTAATATCGATGTAATAAAAAACCAATTAGCTACCTATATTTGTAATCCCTTGTGTATTATACCTGTATATTAATTCAAAAATTTGAAACTTTAAATGATTATATCTAATAAACGAATTAAGTTATATTAAAAATTCAAAT